CACACACACACACACACACACACACACACACACACACACACACACACACACACACACACACACACACACACACACACACACACACATGGATCGCTCACTCTCGCTCTCTGAATCCACTCTGCTCTCAACCCTAATAACTATGGCGTATTCCTACTCCCTTGCTACTCCTGGCTATGGCATCTAGCGCTGGCTACTCTGCCCAACTTCCCGACCACTCACCTCGAACTGTCGCACAAATGTACAGCAGCGCCTCCGAAACATGTGTATTGGAGAGTGACTCGCACAGGGTATTGTAGCTGCTTAAGTAGCAGGACAAATGACATCTTTGTCGGCTCCACATTGGTAACGGTGTCGGGCGGTCAAATTCCGTCGGCCACCCAAAATGAGGGTTTTCGGAGTCTACGTCTGTCTACTATGTCAACTTTTGACTCTTCTTTTGCCTAGCAGGTGACGAAAAGACGGGGTGTCCGGGTCGACCCCTGTTTTCTGCACCTCCACCCACTGACACGACCCCTACTATTATATATTTCTTCCTACTATTTTATCCTATTTTTAACACCCCTTATGAGGGTCTAGTTTGTGTTTACTTCTGAATCCTCTGATGCTTGGTCCTGGGCGAGTGCGTGGGCTTCCATGTAGGCGATTTTGTGTGGTCAACTCAAGGCTGGAAATCTATTTATTTTGACAACAATATCAAAAATTGTAAATAAATTAAGGAATGATGAAAATAAATCTACTCTTCTCGATTTTGGCTTACCTGTCATTTTTGCGTCTGATTATGTTTCACTGTCACATTAGCCCAATCCATGCTGTTTTATTAACCCCCTTTAAGGCTTTAACCCCTTTAAGGCTTTAACCCCTTTTTCGTGTGCGCGCCAACCCTACATTGTTGCGCATGTGACCTGGTCGGGTCGGGTCGTGTATGTGAGATGACTGTTTCGAGGCGTGCGGTTGAACGTCAGTGCAACGGGACCAACTTTCGGCATGAGTCCTGGCCCGCCGGTCGAAGCAGGGATTCACCATGTGAGTTCTAGTGATCTTTAGGGTCCTGCTATTTTGGTCTTGTGTGACCTCCGGATGCTCCCGGTTTTCATGACAACTGCTGTTCGGCATCACCGAAATAATCATGGACACTTTTGACTGATGGGTTGTACCAAGACAGTGGTTCGGTATTGTGGGATTATTCGTGGGCACATTCGGCCAGTCCCTCGTTTATTTGAACACTTGCCAACCTTGGACATACTTAACTACCTGGGTTTGGATTGCAGAGGGCCACCCCCAGTTTCAAGACCACGCCCATGGTTGCTCCCGATATCAGAGGTCCACACCCAGTTTCAGGACCACTGTTGCAGATGATTTTAATTCCAGGACCTCACGTCCATGAGTGCTGCAGCCACAGGCCATTTTGGGATTTCACACTCACGTGTGCTGCAGGGACAGTGAAGCTTGACTGGTATAGTTGGCAAGGCAGCAAGGGGAAAGGGGCGTTCGGGACTGAGGCGACCGGAGGGAACGCAGTTCACGGACTGCAACCACAGGGAATGCAGGTCACGAGTCAGCTGGACCCCTAATTAGTCTAGCATTGCCAACCCACCAAGCGAAACCAGTAGACTATTGGTCACGACCACCTAATGCCAAAGTTCCATGAAAGAGTGTTTCCACATTCAAGTACCTCCTCAGGGAATACAAGATTTTCATGAGGTTGATCTTGAGCTGCCATCCAAGCACGAATTCCTTCATTAAGTAATCATGAGGTGCTGCAGTTTGGTGGTGGCCAACTTGAGCATGGTGGTGTTCCAGGCAGTTGGCGGACGTTCACTAGGGAAGCCATCATATCACTTATTGGTCATGTCCTCCCGTCGCTCCCATCATCTGTTTCTATTAATAAACATAGTGTGGCGGTCTTATGGGAAGGGTGGAGGGCTAATTGGGAGAGCAGGGAGACACATCAAGTTCAGTGTCGTCCTTTAATCTCGCCTTTACGACATTGATAAGGGCCACTCCCTCCAGCAGATACTTCTTCTTTTGTTCCATGTCCTTCTTCTTCTTCTCCATGGCCTGCTTCACCTTCTCCATCTCCTTCTCTTGTTCTGCAAACTCTTGCTTTTCCCCCTCTACTCCCGCTATACATGTCTGTAAGGCCTTCTCTTCAGCCTCTACATGTTTTGCACGGGGCCCTTCTCCTGAGTATGGGAATGCCCTCTTCGACTCCTCCACGCCTTCTTTAGTGAACAGGCGAGGTGGCAATGGCCGGATCGACTCCACCTTCTCCTTACCCTTTCCTTGTCCTCTGTTTTTTTTTTTTTTTCCATTCTCCTTTTTCTGTTCTTCTACTTTCTGTTTCCGCAACTTTTGATTTTGCCTCCACTCCTTCCTCTTCGCCTCCAATTTCTTTTTTTCTCTATTCTTTTCCTCCTTCCTCCTCCTCCCTTTCCACTTTATACACTAGATCCCTCGGTCCAGTGACTTGCTTCCCATCTGTGAGGGTCATGGTATGCATGCCAAATGTCTGAAAGAATCCCATAGAGAATATCACATCGAACAACGGTTCCCACATCACCAAGAAGGCAAAAAATGCATTAGAGGGGCAGTCGTCGATGGCGGTAAGAAGTACAATGACGAATCAAAATCACGGCTTCGTTCTGCTCCTACCTACCACGTAGACTTCAGCCTCTTCCCGACTTCGACCTGTTGGCTCCTACTTTACCCACAACCCTTACTACTTCTACTATCACTACAGGGTGAAAGCCTCGTTAATCAAGCAAACCAGTAATTTAAGGACTGCCAACAACGTGCTCAAGAATTTTTTAACGGCGCAAATAGGGTGATATGGCTTAATGACAAGGCCAGCTCCCCCTACAAACGTAGACTGGACTCTCGCTGAGTCGCACGATTAGTTGGACGCCAGTTAGTAATGGTCCTTGGGCTAGCCAGGTAGTTTAACAAGCGTTCGCCGCTCTATGCTCGTGCAACTACTTTGGGTGGCCGTCTACCAGCTATCAGACCATATCTTGCCTACCATAACACTTAGACTAGGACTAGTATACCCTTCGTAGCTTGCTTTCGGGCCCTTAGCTTGAAGGATCAACCTGATAGGCATAGCGTCTACAACTGGGATTTCCAGGCCTCTCAATGGGGCATCCAACATTGTGCACTCCACGAAAACCGCGGGAAGCCTTTCCTCCAACAAGGCCATCTCCCGCTACAAATATAGACTGGTCTCTCGCTGAGTCACACCGTTTGTGGACGCCGGTTAGTAATGGTCCTTGGGCTAGCCAGGTAGTTTAACGAGCGTTCGCCGCTCTATGCTCGTGCAACTACTTTGGGTGGCGGCCTACCAGCTATCAGACCCTATCTTATGCAACTTGCCTACGACGTAGGACTAGTACACCCTTCATAGCTTGCCTTCGAGCCCCTAGCTTTGTACAATCGGGATATTCAGGCCTCCCAGTGGGGCACCCAACATTGTGCACTCCACGAAAAACGAGGGGAGCCTTTCCTCCAGTGGGTTATCACTACTGGTTCCATATACCACTTTTCCTACTTGCAAACCTAATTGATATCAATGCAAGAAAAAATAGCAGAAAAAAAAACAAATTAGAACACCACATTGAAAGTCAGATAGTCGAGAGTTGTTTTGAGAGCAGAATGCACCAAATCACACACCAAAGGAGACCAAAGCAATGACCTCAATTATCAACGTCAACCCTCCTCTCGCCACTGTCAACAAAGTGTCCAATTTATATTCTCCTAATTGGCGCTCAACACCCAAACTACAATCACCAAGCTCCTATTCTAGCCTACATTACAATGCTGCCACCAGAAGACTTCAACAGTGCACCACCAAGTACGTGCAGATGTCGCCCATGCAGACCTCCACGACCCCCCCCCCCNCTCTCTCTCTCTCTCTCTCTCTCTCTCTCTCTCTCTCTCTCTCTCTCTCTCTCCCTCTCTCTCTCTCTCTCTGTGTGTCTCTCTTTTGTCACAACCACACATTCTCCTCCACCCGAAGACCACCACCATACTCCGCTGACCTTCGTAAGCCCCAACCCGACTATGGTTGGCTGGGCTCTGCGTCGTGCCTAGCAGCGCCTCTCACGTGTGCGCCCAGGCCCTCGTCTCTCAGCGGCATGCGAGTGCCCAAAATGGCAGCACTGGCACGAATGCACAAAGTGCCCGAATGAGAGGCAAGCAGGTGGGCACTTTCCTATATGGAAAGTGCTTGCCTGTTTGGGCAGCCTGGGCCTGGCGACCGTGTGCCTGGTATCTTCACGTTCGCCCATAGTGTCTACGCTCAGGCCCTATTCAAGTACCGCCCTGGGACCAAAACAGTTAGGCCCGATTGTGCGACGTGGCCTGTGTCACTCGCTGTGTCATGATTGGCCAAACGGCCTGCTTCCATGTCGTTGTCTAGGAGAGCCTAGAAGGCTTACGAGGTCTAGGTCACACTGCATGCACGGCCCCATAACCAACTGGGACCTGGTAACTGTCTGGCGCCCCACGAGCAGGCCAAAAATAGGCCACACATAGAAATGCAGGCCCGCCTTCAATTAGGGCTGGCAAAATGCTTGTAGGGGCCCCTGTTATGACCTGCCGAGGACAAAGATCTTCTCATCAATAAGAATTTGACATCAACACGATTGACCAATTGCTTTGCATCCAAGGAAAAGACCGGCCAAATTCCAAATAGCAAATTGCAGAAACGACAAGAGGGTTAGGGAGCATTTCAGTTCAGATTGATGTTGCCGGATGCCGCTCGGGGAATCTTCAGGTGAGTACTCTCCTTCTTGGTCTTCAATCACCCTCCTCAACCACTTCTTCTTCTGCCTTCCACTCTTCCCCCAATTGTCGCCAACTCACTTTACCCACCGACCTTAATTAGCGTCGGCATACTCCTCCAATGCAACGAGGGCATGCTCCGCTACCAATCCAATGACCCGACTCAAGACGAATCTGCAATCGCAACATGCAAGTCTCTGAGTCTCACACAACACTCGAATAACAATGAGATGAGACAGGTACCAGCTGAGAACTAAAAGATATTATTCCAACAAGGGGACCCGTCGCAGCTCCGCTTGCGGCAGAGTCGGAAAATGGAGGGAGGAGCGAGAGGCGAAGTTGCAGAGAAGCGGGGGATGCGAAAAGAGATCGGAGAAGGAAGGAGAAGCCAGAGATGTGAAGTCACCATGACATGAAACCAATTATTTGATGAGAATCGTTTTTTTTTTTACAAAAAGAAGGAAAAAAGAAAAACGAAACCGACCCAGCCCGGGACGTCATTGGTCGTCGTCCGAAATCGGAAAGCACAATAACGAAACCCCAACTCTCCAGGTCGCGGTCCTTTTAGTCCGTCCTCTAATCCCGGCTGCATACCGCCCCCCCACCCCGACTTCTCCCCATCCTCCGCCCCAATCCCGACTTTGTTCCTATCCTCTCTCTCACTCTCCCCATCGTCTGCCCCGATCCCAACTTCGCTCCCATCTCCTCTCTCTCTCTCTCTCTCTCTCTCTCTCTCTCTCTCTCTCTCTCTCTCTCTCTCTCTCTCTCTCTCTCTCTCTCTCTCTCTCTCCTGATCCCCTCCTCCCTCTCCTCCCTCCTCCGCCCCGATCCCGACCTTGCTCCCATCCAATCCCGACTCCCGTCGATGTCTCGATCCTCGCTATTCTCTCCATCCTCCGATCTCTCCCGTATCTCCTCCTCCCTCCTCCGCCCGGACGTTTCGATCCCTGCTATTCTCCCCATCCTCTGCCCCGATCCCGACTTCGCTCCC